TGGTCCGGAATAGTGACATCCGGAAGAGCCTTGGATTACAGCCTTTGCTTCTCCAGACTGAGAAGTCACAACTGCGATGGCTTGGCCATGTGCTGCGAATGCCTCCAGAAAGAAAGGCTAAGCAACTGTTTCTTGCAAATCCGGCCCAGGGGACGGCCAAGATTAACCTGGTGCAAATATGTGGAAGGACTCTGTTCCAGACTACATTTGTTTTTTGCCGAAGCTGAGACTATGGCACAGGATCGGGAACGTTGGAAGCTCTGTCTGACGTATCCGCTTCTGCGACCCGATAGGAGAAGCGGCGATGGAAGATTATGAAGAAGATTCACAACTAATCACCATACATAAGCATGGTCGTGAAGAGCAGTTTGAAAACAAAGAGCTTAGACTTCAGACTCAGCTACGCTTTAGTCACAGTACCTCAGTCTATTTGCTGCAGAACCTTGCTGGCTATTACAATCCACGTGATTCCTTTCTCAAATTTTTCTATCATCAATAAACATGACCACAAGGTACATGAACTTCTCCACTTGCTGCACTGCTTTTCCGTTTATTGGAAGAGGCCAAGGGTCAGGAAAACGAGAAAGCACTAGGCTTCTCGTTTTAGATACGTTACACACATGCTAGCCACGAGACACTTGGCTACAAACCTTTCCAGATACCGCTATAGATCAGTTTCAGAAGATGCCAAAAAAACAAGGTCGTCTGCAAAAGCGACCGTCTCGTCTCGACATTTGCCTCGCTGCTACGTTCATCGCCCTGGCTGTATCTGACTATGCTATTGATGTACGACACAAACAGGATAGGGAACAGAACACAGCCTTGGCGGAGACCAGTGTCAACGTTTAAAGGTTTCGCCTTAACGCCATTTACTCTTACGCAGCACCTGCTATCAGCTGTATTGATGGGGTGACCCACAGCAACTGCCTGCCAATTCTTTGATCGTTGGCATGTCTAGATTGTTGCAGGAAATGGGGCCATAATCTTTCTCTAGGTCTAATAACATGTAAACCAGGTGTGCAAAGTCTCATGATTTCTCCGCACCCTGCTTTAGGTCGAATATCTAGTCATAAGTGCTTCGGTCAGACCTTAACTCACATTGCTCTTACCGTTTATTAGTCAATTATTTCGCGGCACCTTGTTTCTGGCACCATTACGTAGACTTTATCCAAGAGGTTCAATTTATATTAATAATATAATATAATTGGGGCACTTTCTATCGTCTCCCTTCTTGAACAGGTGTGCAACAACTTCGATCCTCCATTCCGCTGTGTTTTTTCCCTAGCCAGTGCAATTTTACAATCACGAGTAAGCCAGTATATGCCTTGTTTGCCTATTGATGTGCGCATTTCAGGGCAGATTCCATAAATTTCCGCAGCCTTTCCACTTTTCAAGCTTCTCACAGCTTGTGTGATTTCATCAACAGAAATAGTAATAACTGTTTCCTGCTGCTATACAGGCGAGTCTTCCTGTGGTTGCTCAGGGTTAAGGAGTTCCTCAGTGTACTCTCTCCACCGCTGAAGAATATCCCCTTCTACGGTAAGACGGTATCCAGGCATGTCTTTCAAGACTCTTAGATTGTCGCTCTTAAAGAGCTCCCACTCCGTTTCCACATAAGCGGTGATCACCGGGAATTGTTCAACCTGTCGTGCGACGTTTTTTTGCAAGTACGCATTTTTATCCGCCGAACATAATGTTAGATTTGCCATTTGATTCACTGGTTGCTTATGCCAGTACATCGTCCAAAGTTACTTCATTTCTCAGAATGTAGCGTGGCAACAACAAGGTCATGATTAATTGACATCTCTGCGCCTCTCTTAATGCGAGTATCCATTACAGAGCGTCATAAGGCAGACAGTACGATAATCGAATCAATGATCCACTTTGTGCACAAGCTTCCCGGTACCAGGTATACTGATGCACTCTTCGATGCTCGAAGGTGTTCATAATGAACAGTCCGCTGTTTGCACAAAACCACAACTTCATGCCATTATTGCAGAGGTCGTTGGAGCCGTTCTTTCCAATCACGCAGTTTCACTTTTCAGCGTCTACTCCAACATGCGCATTAAAATCACTCATGAGTATGAGGGACTGCGTATTCGGCACTTCGTACACAGCGCACTCCACTTCCTCAAGGAAGGTATATTCTCCCTGCAAACTGGGCGCATAGACCTATACCAAGGTCAACGCATTAGTCTGTAGTATCTTCAGCCAGAGGACTGCCACCCTTCCGCAGATAGGCTTCCATTCAATAAATCTATTAGCTAGGCTCGGTTCCACCACAACACCGACACCGGCCTGATCGAGCGTCGTGATATTGACACCTGAGTAAAATATATTCCACCTGCAAGAGTTCAAGATTCCAGAGCCTTGGTGTTTCGTTTAAGAGAGTCTGTGTCTAGTCGGTTCCTTACATTACTTCGACCTCGTCAACTAGCTGCTACACTTTCCCTCATAGTGATGACATGTTCAAATGTCCGACTTTAAGCTCCCACTGGCAGTGTCGTTCTCGTGGATCCTTTTCTGGCGTGCTATAATGGCATCGCGCTCTCTGCGATCTACGTTCATAACGGGTAGCGACTCCGTTGCTGGTTGATACCTTTGTCGTCATTTCATCGATTTTCGTCAGCCGTTGTTGTGGGGCTACGCCCCCGCTTGCCAGAAAGCGATTAGCAGATCGCCGACTTTTCGCAGTTTGCTTCTGTCCCCCTAGCCGTAGCCTCTGCGGCGCTTGGTATCTCGGACGACGACCTAGCTGGTATCGATTACGGCAATACGGTATGAGACAAGTGGGTAAGTTTCACGAAGACCGGATTCGTCCTTTATCATCCAGGCTACGTACCGATAACAGTGGAGAACTTTCCGATTTTTATAGCTGATTTCTTTTCTATTCTACTAGCATGCGCCGTATGGCGTGGTTATCAAAATGCTGTTCTACCTATGATGGAACCGTTTCCATGTCCGTTACCGATGTGTGCTGTATCCTACTTTCGAGCTCTGCCTCAGTCTTCCCAGTCTAGCTAGCCAACCCACGGGAGCGATTCATGCAATACACACACCTCGCTTTCTACTGTTTGGATGTAACGTCTTATATAAGAGGCTGACAATCTTTTCAAGATACCTGTATAACGTACCTAATCATGAATGGTTGGTTTATTTCTCTAAATTCATTAAACGATTTATAGTTTTTATAGTTTTTCACATCACAAATGCCGTTCTGAATACTCGTTTAAAGGCATGCTTCCTATAACTAACATACTCGGTACGTGGATGTACAAAAAAACTGGGTACTTAACAGTGTAAACATACTATAAATTACGCAAAATTACCTCTTGTTCGTGATCACCTGATGGAACGATGCCGTTTTCTTCACTTGCATTGTTAACTGCCATCTCAGACACATGCGTTTCTAACTGCTCAACGTTTGAAACGGCATCTGTTGAATCAGCGAAAGCACTCGTATCCGGATAATTTTCGGCCATACTGAAAGAATATTCAGCATGGTGATCTTTGTACCACTCGTCGACAGCCGGTGAGGCAACCAGAAGCTCCACTGATGCCGGCTGTTGTTTAATCAACTTCACCACCTCCTGAAATACTGTTAAATCAGTTCAGTTAAATTTTTCTGATTATTTTAATATTCAAAAGAGGATGTGATTGACAGACCCGCTCCTATGAAAAAATTCACAAACAGTGAATTTACAGAGGGCCATTTTTGAATTTTTAAATCTACCCAGCTACTACTATTGACAAAAGTTCGCTAAAAATTCAAATTCGTTCAGAAGAAAAAACAGATTTTGCCTGCATATAAGAATTCTAGGTGAGGTGTACTTTCCTCAGAGCGTTAACGTTACACTGAGACTACACCATAAAAGTTGAGACTACCTTCTGGCGAAATAGTATTACAGTTTAGGACTGACATATCTCTGATAAATCTGCTTATTCAATGGACTATCTTCATGATGCATGAGTAAGGTATTCAAGCGTAGAATAAACATGGAACGCTTTTATTTAACAGTCGACGCATTTTGTTACCAACAGCGATAACATTATCATGTGATCTAATCAAGTTGTTTTCTTTAGTACCTGTTTTTTAATCGCATTTAAAAAAGAATGAAGATAAACATTTGTCGAAATTTTAAAAAACATGCTCATAAAATAAATAAATCAACAGTAAATCCAACATTAAGTAAATTTAGTAAATCCAACATTAATATTAATTACCGCTCTCATTTCGCAGAGATTTTGTATTTTTAAAGTAAACGAATATTAAGTAACAAATCCATCAAACAAAATATATGTAAGTTTGGTATAAGGAAAGTAGTGGCCCGTTTTTAAACTGTCATTCGATTTAACCTTCTCACTTCTGTAATTAACTATTATCGTATTTCGCATGTGCCTGTATCTGACTTAGAAAATTAGATGCGATTAGAGAAGAAGCGATTAAGGAGATGCGGTAGACAAAATGGCAAGACAAAGTTGCTAAATCTGTAGGATACCAGAGATTTAAACGTGAGGATGA